TTGTTAAAAAGGCTCCTATGTTGAGATCAAGTTTATTGAAGAAAGAAGAAAATCAAAAAGAAAGTAGAAACACAACAGAAAATGAGACTTTCAATATACTTCAAAAAGTTACAAAATCTTTCCAAAGAGCTTTCAAGTATATCCTTCAAAGGGGTTACAGAATCTTTTCAAAGAACTTGCAAGTGAAACAAAAATTTCCTAAGTGTTTTATCTTCAGGATGAAGGAGGCTGGGAAGAACTGGGTAGAGAATGACGAAAGTACAGCTCGGAGGATTGAGGCACTTTAGTTACAATTAAAACGACATGCCAACCCTTGCTGAAATATGCCTTCTCCAAAAGCGGGATTTGCAGAGCCAAGTCGTTCTCAACTTTTTCCATTCCTTGCTCATATGAAGAATCTTCTTGATCCTTGGCCTCAGCCTTAAACTTCTCAAACTCCTCAAGGAGATTGGAATGCTCTAGTTGAGTCTCAGTAAACTCAACGTTGGCTGCATGTTCAAAAGCTTTCAGCTTTGCTACTTATGCTAAAAGTTTCTTGTTCTCCTCAGTTAGGCTAAGCTTTTGAGCCTGAAGAACAAGAACCTCTTTGCAGAGTTCGGCATACTCTTTTTCGGTAGATTTTTTTTTCGCCAAAGCAGAAGCACGGGCATGAATGACATCTTTCATAGCCTTGTCTTTCGTGGCTATCTTGGCCCCTACCTTGTGTACTTTTTGAAGCTCCTGTAAGTTAAAAAGAGTGAAAAGTTCAGACAGATTACTTCAACTTTAAAGGAAGGCAAAAAGAACAAGTGAAATACCAAAACCATATGTTGAATTGCTTGGCTGGATATCTCATCGTCAGACAAAGTCTCATTTGCGGCTAAGTCTCTAGGCAGAATTACTCCCCTAGCGATCCTCACAACAACATTATAGTCTTCAATAGCGGAATCCTTCACAGTTATCTCCCTTCTTTTTGCCCTAAGAATAGGCCGGAATGGGGGAGTAATAGATTTTGGAGAACACACTATATCAGAATCTACAATTTTGTGCCTTTTAGGGGCAGGGTCCTTAGGAAGCTCGATAAGAGAATCAGGAAGGCCATCGGGTGAGTGAACAGGAATAGAAGTAGTAAGATCAGCTGGAATTGAAGAATCTGGAGCTGGAACCAAATCGACTAGCTCATCATCCTAGAGAACCCCATTGCTCGGTTTGGGAGGATTAAACTTGGGCAGGAGGTATAGATTCAGGTTCCACAAGCATAGGTTCGGGAGGAGCAGTAGAATCAATTAGTATGGAGGTTTTGGTAGGGACAGATGTTTCAACAGTCGACAGAAAATCAAGAAAATTTCAAACTGTCCTCTTTCTTTCAGAAGTGCCAGGTAATGGCCACTTAGGGGAACGAGGGGTTTGGTCCCGAGCAAAATGGATAGCTTGTCGGTCTTCGGCAAGAGCAGAGTTGGGTCGGGGTGGAACGGTGATGAAAGACATGTAGGTGGGAGTGTACCTGAGCAGTGTGTGAGCAGCACGACAAAAGAGAGAGTCATTGTAGTCTCATACTTTCTTTAACTCTTCCGTCTTGACAGCTTGCTCAAGGATCCTTCCTTTCACCGTCTCACCTTCACGAAATAAAACAACATAAGCAAAAACAAAGGATAAATAAATCAAGAAAAGCAGAGTAAAAATATCAGTCATTTGGCGTGTCTTCCTCATAAGGGCAACAGTAAGAAAGAGTAGAGCTAGTTGCGTATTTCCAATTTCTAGAAACAAAAATCACATTATTTTCATGGTCCTTATTTGAATCAAGGAGGTGAGTCACCAGACAATGATCCTTCTTCCTAACAGTTAGATAGTAGTTATCCCCAACAGACTTGATAATGTAGCAGTACAAAATTTCCCAAAGGCCCAAGCTTAGGTTCAGCAGTCTGTTGAGAGCAGCTACCCCTATAACGATTTTGAAGAAGTTGGGGCAACACTGAATGAGACAAAGTTTCATCACAGACAGTACCCAGAGAAGAAGAGGGTCAAGGGGGAAGCAAACCCCACCTTCTGTGATTGCTCGTGTGTGAATGGGAATGCATTCTCTGGTACCAATCAAGGGCTCATCAGTACTAGCAACACGGATCTCTACATTGTTAGGAATCTGGTACTTTGCTCTTAAGGCAGGAATATCAGAGGGGGTAAGAGGAGTCATAGTAGAAGACGATAAAGATGTAGAAAGAGGTAAAGAAGCAGAGAAGTAAAGAAGTCTGAAGTTGAGAAGGTAAAATGGAGAAAATAATGAAGAAGGTCGCTTATAAGGGAGTAAACTGAAATCTAAAAGACAATATTTGAATACAAAATACGTCGCTAAATCAAAGGGGGGATGTCTCAAAAGTACACGCAATGATGGATTTGAGAGTATAAAACAACTGATAGATGAAAAATGTATGTCACACGTTTCTTGCAGGCAAATGAAGGGGGTTGCTCCCCTTATGACACGTGTAATTACATTAAATGATCCCACGTGAGGGTGATAAAACTAGTCACATGAGAAAGAAATCACTAGACTCAGTCATCAGACAATAACTGAGTTGTTTAGAAAGCTCAGGAAGGAAAGAATGAGGTTGGTCTTCATCACAACCGAGTTGTTTAAGCAGAAAACATGGTACTAAAAAGATGCCTATGATTTCGGCATTCATGTTAAACGAATAGGCATGATCATAGGCTCATCAGAAGGAATTGGTGGAGAGATATCAGTAACTTCCTGAACAAAATCACTTGATTTGGAAAAGGTGTACCACCTTGATTCAAAAATTATGAAAACTCTAGCTAAAGGAGACTCTATAAAAGGCATGAGGAGCAAATGTGAAAGGTACTCTGAACTCTCCTTATCTTCTTGCAATTTACTCAATTCCATTACTGACTTACACATTGGAGTGCCTTCAATCGAAACACTTCGATTTTGGATAGTTTGTTCGTTTTGCAGGAAGAAAAGATTGGGAGATCAAGTTTAGAGCACACTTATTCCAAAGATATCAATCCTTCATTCCTGTAGGAGGTACTCTCATTTTTTTCCTCTTATAGGAATTATTGTCAATTGTGAACTTATCATAAAAGTTCTTGAAAAAATCAACTTGTGTCATATTTTTTTTTCTACATGGTGTCCAGGATTACAACAACTATTTTCTCTAGTTCAAGCACAAATTACCGGAGCCCGAGTGTGTTAAGAACTTGCCTCCTAAGAAATAAAGGTGGCCGACTTTAGGGGTATGAAAAATGTTGAACATGAGACATCTATGTTACTAGATGTTAGATTTAAACACTAAACTACATGTTACTAACTAGTGTGTCTAACAAGTTAGTCAAGGGTGGTTGACCTTTGGGGTATGTGAAGTGTTGAAGCTGCGACTTCTGGGTTACTAGAAGCCATACTCAGCCATTGAACCAAGGGTTACTAACTTGTGTGTCTAACAAGCTGGTGTTGTGACAGTTTTTCATTGTGTACACTAATAACTTGGGTTTTTTATTTCTCAAGTAATAACTCACAATACAAAATCTAACTCCTTGAAAAACATGTTTCTACTACACCTTTTCTCTCTTGTCCATCTAGTGTATATCAAACTGCCTTTCCAACGCAGTCCATTGAGAAAACAAAACACTTTCTATGTCAATTTGAAGTCTTGGATAGACAAATAAAAGAGATGTTTGAAAGACCACCTCAACTAAACTCATTTCTTTTTCCTTTACGTATTCTCTCCCCTTTTGTAGTTCTACAAAAATGGATGGTTGGTTCTTAGTTACAAGGACAAATCAAGGTGTTGATTATCCCTCTGCGACCTTTTTTCAACGTTCCACAAATGTTGAGAATTGGTTTCTCCTCCCTCGATTCCTTCTTGTTTACTAATAGTGATATATTAATTAGTATAACATCATTTGTATATATTGACATAAACATTAAATGCATATACATAAGAGTATATATATAGTATATATAGAATACTTGTAAATTGAGATTAGTGGAAAAATGAAATATTCACTTCCCTCCAAAACATTTGGAGTATGTGAGTTGGAGAGCAAATACAAGAATTCCACATTGGTTCTTCATGGATTCAACTTCTCTTATAAATAGAGAAAGCACTTCATTCTCCACTCACGGTCTCAAAGAGTCCTTTTGAAGAGGAAGCTTACATAATGAAAATTTCAAGTTATAATTTTGTGTGTGTATGTATGTTTGTATAAACAAAAAAGGAGAAGAAGAAATAAAAACAAAGAAAGGAGGCGACATTCGAGCATAAACCACGTTCGAACGATCCTTACTCCCAGTATTTTTTCAGAGTCTCGGTTTCGGACAGAAAATGAGATACTGGAACTTCGGTCCGTTCGAACGCAATTCATGTTTGAATGTGACTTGCTCTTAGTATTTTGGCAGAAAATTTCAGAATGTATTAGAATCAAGATATTGAGAGTTGAGTTCGTTCAAACATGGCAATCTCGTTCAAACGTAATAGGTTTTTCTATTTCAGTTAGTCTCTAATAACTATATTCTTGCAGCCCTTTCAAAGAGTATCCTCGACCATAGTTATGAAGGGTTACACTCCTTTATTGAGGAATGCGTAGAACACTATAAATAGGGTTCAAGTGCAAGAACAAAGGATTAACAAGTTGATTCTTCTTCTTCTCCTTCATTCAAAGTTGCTATATTTTTTAATTTTCTATATTTGGGTTAAGTGTTTAATTCTAAGATTACTAAGGAGTGCAATCTTTAATAATATTAAAGTTTGGCATTATACTCTGTGGGTAGAATTTCTAAGAGAACATTTGCATTATAATTGAAGAAATTACTATTTTGAAGATATCGAATGTCGTGGCATACCTAACGATCTATCTTCTTCGGTTTTCATTTATTATTTTTCTACTACTTTAAATTGTTTTACCTCAATGTATTCTATAACAATTGTACCAAGCGTCAACCATTGAGGAGGTTGAATGAGTTCTCCTAGATTCCCTGACACTTCCATAGGCATTATGGAATTGTTTAAATTTTAGAGTCCCATCACTTGAATACTGCTGAACTTGACCAGTATCTTCGATCTTGGATCCTTGAAGAAGATTGAGGTTGTGTTTTCAGCTGGAAGCATATGTGATCGCAGCTGGACGAGTGTATTAAAACCCTCAGTTCTGACAAAGGGGAGAACTAAACCAGAATGATTATTTTGGTGGCCTAGTTGTTTCATTCCATTAAAAGGATCATCACTGTCCATCAATCCCAGTCCTTTGGCAACCATTTCCTTTGACAAATTGTTACCCATGGCCTTCCTATTAGTAGTAAAGGCCCTTTTTCCATTGTGAAGCAACATTACTTTCCATTATGTCATTGGGAGGCACTATTTTTTCTTGAAAAGTAGCACAAGTATTCATTTTTCCATAGGGTGGAGCCAACTTTTTGCCTTAAGTGCCATCATAGATATCCATATTTTCCTTAATAAGAATATTTTTTTCCCTTTGACATAGCACCAAGGACATTTGCTCTGCCACTTGCAAAACCTATATTTTCATTTCCTCTAGAAGCATAGGGATAGATATCCATGCCTTCATTAATCTGAACATTTTTGCCTTCAATAGTAGCGTAATGCACACCCAATTGGCCATTTCATAGGATTCTCAGGATGGAAGTAACGGACTTGACTACTAACACCAACACCTGCAAGTTGGTTGCTGCTGTGCTAGCAATGAAGAAAGTTGACAGCTTCGGCCCTAGAGTGGTTGCATAGGAGTCNTCCCTTTGACATAGCACCAAGGACATTTGCTCTGCCACTTGCAAAACCTATATTTTCATTTCCTCTAGAAACATAGGGATAGATATCCATGCCTTCATTAATCTGAACATTTTTGCCTTCAACAGCAGCGTAATGCACACCCAATTGTCCATTTCATAGGATTCTCAGGATGGAAGTAACGGACTTGACTACTAACACCACCACCTGCAAGTTGGTTGCTATTGTGCTAGCAATGAAGAAAGTTGACAGCTTCGGCCCTAGAGTGGTTGCATAGGAGTCAGCTGAAACTGATAATTAGGAGTTTTAGGCAAACATCTTGCTAGTTTTTGTTTGGTAACCTTTTGAGCCTTTGACCCCAAATATTCCACATAATGCATCAGGCTTCCTCTGTAATCAATACTTCCATTGTCCTGTGATATCATAAAATTACAATCAACATAGAGAAGGGGTTGTAAATTCAAAGCAGAAGAAAAAAATACATTTAGAAACACCATATTATCATCTTGAGCTAGCACATCTCAGGAGTTTTGCTTTCTTGTATCAGTTTGGTTAGAAACTCCTGTTATTTGTGGTATTCTAAATATAGTAAAATCAGTTATTGAAAATTTTGATTTGAAAATGTAGTTTAAAACAAAACAGTAACAATAGTATGTACGAAACAGTTACAGGTACGAAATAGTAACAAAATAAATTTGTGTTTAAATAATATAAAAACTGACTTGCTTACAGAACATGAACTGTTATTGAATTTTAGGTAGATCAAGACTAGTGTTTGATACTATATCCTTAAGACAGATTTTGACCCCACACACGGTACTTATGGAAATTAAAGCATCTGTCTTCTAAGATACAATGATCTTCACACAAATAGAAGTAGCTTACTTTAATGTCGAAATGTAATGTACTAATGCTTGCCTTAACTCCGAAATTGATTGATCTAGAATGGTAATGAATCTGGGTTTATATAAACAAATTGCTGACTATTTCGGATAGTCACCATGTGAAAAGACACAACTCAAAAGACACACATGCAGCCAGAAAACACCAACATGTAACTGTTCTCTATGAACAAACACTACTCAAAAATTCAGACTCAAAGGAAAACAAAATCCGAACCAGTGCGAATTTAAATTCACCGGGTACTGAAATTAAATTCTGGTTCAGAATTTCTTGTCCAATTTGTTAAACGAATTTTCTCCAAAAAAAGATAATGCTTGGTTTAAACCACTCCCACTCCCACACCCACACCCACACTAACACTCGTACTCGAGTCCGAGCCTGAGCCTGAGCCTGATCCTATTGGGTTGGGTCATGGTCGTGGCGAGACTGACGGGTGTGGTTGAACCAAAGGCATGCGTTCCACTCAAAAAATTATGGTACCCTTTGAGACCCAGTCTTATAGAGTAAACTTGGCCTATATATGCCCATGTAGAATGTCTTCCTTAAGCAATGTGGGATTGGTTTCAAATTTTATATTGCACAACCTCTATTTTCACATTTCAAGAGGGTCATTTTGGAGCCTATTTTCTCATTCATTTTTTACTCAATTTGAACAAGTGAATATACTCCGTTATTCTCCTCACAAAATATAATACGAATCCGCGAAAAGTTTACTTGAAACAACGAACGAGTCCCATTTTAATTTAGGCTCAAAGTCTATTAAAAATTAGATTTTAACTACTAAAATCTGTTCTATCCAACAATCTCCCACATGAATAAAAAATTGGTTGTTAGTATACAAATGATAATGCTAACACGCTATAGAGAGTTCATATTTGGAAAGATCGTGCATTGAGAAAGGTAGCTTTTGGTTTTGAACCTTCTCTAGACTTATCGAATAAATAATGAATGTGATGTCTTCAACTATTCAACTGTTTGATAAATCAGATTAAATAGACTTTACACAGTCTCTTTCTAACACAATTGGTTTTCATGATTGTGTTTATTGTAGTCCTAAACAACTCCTGGTTTTCTTTAGTGTTTTAGAGAATTTTGCATTTATAAATTCTCACATAAGCAGCCCTTTCACGCCCATATAGGTGACTCTTATTAGGAATATTTTGCAATATCTCACTTGGATTTTCAAGATATAAAAGTCATTAAAAGTATAGTTTACCCTAATAAACTCTGCAGGCAACACTAGTTTGTCATAGGAATAGGTAGGAGAAATTATCTCCTTAGTGCTTCTTTTGAATCACGTATAATTCAGTTGTCCATTTGAACCTAAATCTTAGGATCTCCAATCAATTAGGTTAGGTTGTCATTAAGGTGACTCTTAAGTCACAGGTTTTAGCTTATTTACCTCGATGT